GAGGGTGCTTTTTATTATTTGGACACTGCTTTCTACTCTTAACTGTTCTGTAGTGTTGCTGTGTGCTGTTTACAAACAGTTGTGTTCCCCCATAGAAACGGTGAGTGAAATGATTACTAGGAAAACATGTATATCTCTCTGCATGCATACACAGAGAGAAAGAGAGAGTTTGGGGGATATTTATATTGCTTCTGAATTAATTATATAGGTCATCCATATGAGTGACAATAAAGCATTTATTTCACATCACATCAAGTATACTCTATGTGCCTCATATTTTACAGAAATGCAGAAAGCCTGTTATAGAAGGATTGAAAAATGTTATTGGAACAATATTTAACTCTTCTGTTGGTAAGGGCATATGCCTTAGCATCATGATGAATTCAGCTGTTTAGAGTCCACAAAAGGAGATTAAAATGTTAACTAACATATTTAAAACACTTTTAAAATAACCTAAAATAGCTTTCTTATACATAAAAAATTTACAGTTTTGAGGTCCAACATTTGGGATCTTCCAGAACTAGAAGCAAGTCCCATCAGAAAGATAGGAATAACAAGTACAAATCTGGGTGTAATGTACTATGTCAGGGGGGGGCAAACTTCTTGGCCCGAGGGCCACATCTGGGGATGGAAATTGTATAGCGGGCCATGAATGCTTACAAAATTGGAGGTTGGAGTGTGGGGGGTGAGTGAAGGCTCCAGCTGGGGGTGCAGGCTCTTGGTTGGGACAAGAAATGAGGAGTTCAGGGTGTGGGAGGGGGCTCTGGGCTGGGGCAGGGGGTTGGGGTATGGTGAGGGCTCCGGCTGGGGGTATGGGTTTTGGGGTGGGACTGGGGATGAAGGGTTGGGGGTACAGGAGGGTGCTCCGGGCTGGGGCCAAGGGGTTCAGAGGGCAGGAGGGGGATCAGGGCAGGGTGCAAGATCCAGGTGGCACTTACTTGAAGCAGCTCCCAGAAGCAGCAGCATGTTCCCCCTCCGGCTCCTACACAGAGGCACAGCCAGGTGGCTCAGTGCACTGCCCCATCCGCAGGCGCTGCCCCTGCAGCCAGTGGGAGCTGCGGGGGTGGCACTTGGGGCAGGGGCAGCATGCAGAGCTCCTGGCTGCCCCTATGCATAGGAGCCAGAGCGGGGACATGCCACTGCTTCCGGGAGCCACGCGGAGCCATGGCACACATGGAGCAGAGCAAGCCCCCAGCTGGAGCACTGGAGCAGCGCAAGCCCCAGAGCCCACTCCCCAGCAGGAGCTTGAGTGCTGGATTAAAACATATGAAGGGCCGGATGCAGCCCCCGGGCCGTAGTTTGCCCACCCCTGTACTATGTGCTTGTCTACATGGCGATTGACCAGAATAGCTCCCCGTGCAGGCACTGTTCTGAAATAAAAGTCACTTTATTCTGCAATCATTAGTGCACTTCCAAGCCAGAGTAATTATTCTGGAATAAAATCATTTTTGTTCTGGAATAGTATCCACACATGGAATTATTCCAGAATAGCTATTACGGACTAGTTTATTTCACAATATCCATGCTAGTCAATTTTCCCCTGTAAATTCTTTTTAAAAATTTCAAAGGTAACTAATTTGTTTGGAGAGGTAGTGTGTCTAGTGGCTAGAGTACTGGGCTGGGAGACAGGAGACCTGAGTTCTAGTCTCAACTCCACCAGTGGCCTGCTGGGTGACCTTGAGCAAGTTACTTCACCTCTTTCTGACTCAGTTTCCCCCTTTGTAAAATAATACCTTTGTAAAGTGCTTTGAAATTTACGGATGAAGAGCAGCACTACATTACAGCTAGGTAGTATTATTACTAGACTGGGTGCTGGGACTGGGTGCTCTTGGTTTCATTCCAGGTTCTTCCACTGTCTTTTTGTGTGGCTTTGGTCTACTTCAACTAGCTGTGCCTCAGTTTTCCCATCTGTAAAATGGGGATTACATACCTCACAGAGAGTTTGTGCGTTTACTTACTATTCGTAAAATGCTCTGAGATGCTCATTTGACACGCGCTATGTAACTGCAAAGTATTATTACTAGTGAAGAAGGCCCTTATTCAGAAAGGCAGTTAAACACATGCCAAATGTTAGGCATATATTTAAATCTGATTGACATCTACCCCCTCTGCCCAGCTGGATTTGGGAATACAGCAGTTAAGTGGTTCTGACATGTAAAATCCGTTTCAGGACTTGGAAAACTATACATTTGTGGAGAGTTCCTGGTGAACACTCTTTAGGTTCATGCATTTCGCTGTTTTGCATTGTTTGTTCACATTTATGCCACAGAGCTGCAGACGTTTGGTCTCCTGTGGACTTTATCAGAGCAAATTAGCTTTCAATTTAACTAGCTTTTTTTCTCCCTTCCCCTGCAGAAGTGGCAGGAGACTCCCAGAGATTCATATGCAACCAATTTACAACCTACTCCTCTTCCATTCTTAATACTGACCTTCAATGTATCGTGTCTCCTCTAAAACTTGGCTCTCATACTCACCTCTGCCTCTACAACAGTCAGGAATCTTCAGTGTTCTTTGGGCCTCATCACTGAAGTCAACAGGAATCTTTCCAATGATATCTATCGTTACTCAATCAGGTGCTTTGTGAAGGCACTGTGAGCCTTTCCTTAAGAGTCACTGCTGTGAAGGAATCCCCACCCCACACCCGCTGCCCCCTTTTGAGATGGGGGGGCGGGGTAAAATACTGGCCCTATTGAAGTCAATATGAATTTTGCCATTGACTTCACTGGGACCAGGATATCGCCCTACATGATATGCTTGACATGTTCTAGGCAGTTTAAAGGTAAAATAAAAGGCTTTTTATTACCTTCTAAGCCCTGAAGTTAAGATTTGAGTCTCTTTGCTAACACCAGTGAAGAGCTACCCACTCCTTCAGGTGTCAGTGATGCCATCAGTAGCAGATGAGGAAACACTGAATCATGAACTCAGCTCTTGGCAGGAATGGAAAGAAGGAAGCAATTTAATGGCTTTCTTTTAAAGTGCATTATGCATCATTTGAACGTTGATGTAACTTACTACAGAAGTTAAAGAGTTTTCATGTATATAAGGCTTTTTGGAGACTTTTAAAACATTTCCATTCACCTTCAGGAAGCTAGTGAAAGTCTGAGCCTTCTCCCAATGTGAGGCACAATGTTCAGAGCCCAGGCCTAGGAGCTGGGAATACATGAGTGCTAATCACAGCTCGGCTACTGGTTTCCTCTGTACTCATGATCAAGTCGCATGTTCGTCTTTCTGTCTCACTTCCCCAAGCAGCAAAATGGGAATAATGACGTTTAGCAGCCTACTTCAAAGGGCATGGAGACATTTATTTAGTTAATATCTGAAGTGTTTTGGAGTTTAAAGTGTGATAGAAGTGATTAGAATTCTTATATTTTACAAATATTTGATTTGTATTGTGGTGAGTTAAGGAGTTGATTGCGGTTGAGATAGCTAAAATAATTTGTATTTGTTTTATATATGGAAAATTATGTACATGAGCTTCAGGACATGCAATTGGTGCTATATATCAAACTAAATCAGTAACTAAGCACCACTGTCAGCAGCTCCCGACAGCTCTACTTAAGAGTAAATATATAATGCTATTGTAGGGGGAGGAGAAGTAACACAACAAGAAATATTTTCAGCAGATATATAGCTATAGTTCAGACAGGATACAAGAGATAATTAACCTAAGTCCATCAGATGGGTTTCTGTTTTTAAATAATCTTAATAAAACAGCACATTCCAATAAACTGATCACAAGGCTGCGAGACAGCAACTTCTGGTTTCTAATCCCAGCTTTGCTTCGTAGACCTTGTCTAAATTAATACTTAGTTCACAGCAAGTCATGGTGTGAATTTACTCTGCACTAGCCTGATGCAAGCTAAGTGTCCACCTGAATACTCCTGCCACACACTAAAATTTCCCTAGTGCACTTTGGTCTATCCCTCTTTGAAATGGAAGCAGATTACAGAGCACTGGGGAACTTTTAGTACATGGTAGCTGGGTCCACATGGATTCTTGGTGTTAAGTAGGCTAGTGCAGGGTATATTCACGCCCCAGTTTGCTGCAAACAAGGCATTTGCATAGACAAGCCCTTACCTGCTGGATAATCTGGAGCAAAATCCTTAATGTCTCAGTGCCTCAGTTTCCCAATCTATCAAGTGGGGATACAGTTACTTTCAGGGGTTTTATCCAGGCTCATTAGTTAATGTTTGTGTGGAACTTGGAAAGAGCATGTGTTGTGTAACTGCTATTAGCATTATTAACCAAAATCACCAGCGGACCAAATTCAGTGATGAATCCTGGTCACGTGCCACTTGAGGCACATTGTGCATGTGGCTAAGAAGAAGACCAGGCAACTGTCCCTCAGCTGGTTACAGGTTTATTTTTAAGCTTTGTCATGTCCTGTTTTCACCACTTTCATAAGAGAAAAGGGACTCTCTTTTTTAAAACCTATTCACACTGTCACTGTGCCCTTCTTCCCAATACAAAATTAACAGATGAGCTGAATAAAAGTGATGATACAATGATATAGGGTTATGTTTAATCCTTTGCTATCTTGGGCATTCAGATCACCTTGAGATGTTATTTAAAGACCTAATTTTGTATAACTTCTGAAGATATTGCACTGGTTAAATGGTTGACAAAAGTATTTAATAATGTTCAGCGCTTATATAATATGTTTCATCCAACACCCTCAAAGCACTTTACAAAGATAAGTACCATTATCCTCCCGGTACAGCTAGAAAAAGGGAGGCAGGGAAAAGTTAAATGACTTGGCCCTAAATTGCACAGGGAGACAGTGGCAGAGGAGGACACAGAACCAAGGTCTGTTAAATCCCAGTCCCCTGCCCTCCTGAAGAACAGCTGTTTTCCACTCCCCCTAATGCCAAACCAAACTCTAGCTTTGGCAGGGCACAAAGGGGAAACATCGTGCAGAGCGCACAGCTCCCCCTCCCCCGCCCCCCGGAACGGGGGTGCCTTTTCTTACCTCCTCTCCGTTCCCCTTCCCACCTACCCACCTGTTTGTAGGCATCCAGAAGGAAGCTATTCCAGACGCAGCGGAGCCCCTCCGAGGTCAGCATTCTTCGCCACTCGCCACGCGCCGCTTTAGACCGACTCAGCAGCAGCACCATGTGCTTCAAGAGGATCACAGAGTCGTAGAGTGCAAGAAAGAGGCAATTGGAGAAAAAAACCGGCAAGATCTGAAGCGCGATCAGCAAATCCACGCTTAACAGACCCATCTTCCCTGCTGCTGCTCCCCAACGGGTTCCCTTCAGCTCCCTTGTTTGCCCTGAACACTCATTTAAAAAATAAGATAAAATAAAATCAAAGGCATTTTTTAAAAACTCATCAGCCCCCTCCACCTCCCGCCTCTTTCTCTCAGCGGCCGCAGGGATGATTAAATATACTCAAGCTGGTCAAAACCATAACTCAGCGTGAAATTCATTCAGTTCTGAGCTGCTTTTCCTTTTTCAGAGACTAAAATGTTTCCCTTATGCAATAGCCCTTTTGAGCCCGTTAAAGACAGAGACAGCTGTGCTTCCACTTCCCTGCAGTTATACAATTTAAGCAGAGATCGTTCACTTTCCTCTCCTGTCCCATTGTTTCTCAGCTATTTAAGCACTAAGCAGACCTCTAATTTCTGTGTCACCGGTGTTACCAGGTGCAACGCTACTTTTTTTTTTTTTAAGGTCTTTGTACACAAACTTTCTGTTCCTCTCTCCGTGTGCCCCTGTCTCCCTCCTCTCTCTCGCTATCTGTCTGTGGTGCAAAGTGCTTTCCCTCTGGAGTCCTAGCCTGCTTCCCTGAAGCCTTTTATACATTCCCTGGCTAATTGCTGCAATACAGAAATGAAACCCTAATCTTGGTAAAGATCTTGACGTCAATGTAAAAGAGGGCTTTACTTTGGCCAGGGCTGCTGTGAATAGAAAAGTGAAATTCTCAAAACTTTTTTTTTTTTTAAGAGAAGAGAAAAGAGAGAGAGAGGGAGGGAGGGTGGAACTTTGCTTTGTTGTTGAAAAGGAGAGGAGGGAAATCGCAATATGCTGCTGGCTGCTCTTAAGAAACGCTTTCAAACTTTGGAAAAAGTATTTTCATATGACATGGAAGATAATCCAGCTACACAGGCTTCTGCTGTTGTTTTCTCTTGAGTTTCTCCCCCCCCCCTCCCCCGCCTTGCCCTTTTGTCTTTTCCAGGAAGGTGTGTGAGTTGATGCATCCCTAGAAAGGGGATATTTCTGTACATTTCCCTTCCACTCCCATTGAGTACAATGTGTATGGTGTTTTAAATATCTTTTGTTGTCTTCTCGGTATTTAAGGAAACATAAGAAAACACCCAGGACTGACTTCATCTGCTAGTGTGTAAGATAGAGAGAGAGAGAGAATATGCTTTCCGATGAGTTTTGTTGAAGTTGAAGTTCCTGACTGAAAAGATAATGGGCCAGATCCACAGCTGGTGTAAATCAGCATAGAGCCATTGACTTAAAATGGGGGCACATTTACATCAGCTAAGGATTTGGCCCAATGTCAATAACTCTTTTTTTAGTTCAAAGTCTCTCAGAGAACTCATTATCTCTTGGAAGATCCATGTGTGGCTTGAAAGCGAAAAACCCACCTTGGAGCCCCATATTGAAGAAAATGATTTTTTTTCTTTGCACTGTTAATTTTCTTTTAACTTTTCTTTTAAAATCAGTGGGTACCTCTGAGCTATTTTTAACAGAGTTCAAACCTCCCATGGGAAATATTTCCTGTATTTTATATTCACTTTTACATTTTTTGTTTTTGAGTTAATTTATCTGTTTATTTGGGTGCTTGTATAAGCCCCCATCACCACACATCTTAGGGATCAAAGTTATCGGTTGAATGGCACACCTCGCTCCTCTGTTTACCCACTGATCAGACATATAGGCAGCAGCAGTGAAACCTTCCTTCACACCATCTCGCCAATGTGTTGCAACCATCCCAGGAACAACTTTCAGACCCCTTTGGGGGAAAAGAATATGTATATTTGGCACAAATTCTGCCCTTAGGCACAGGTGCAGGACCCACAGAAGTCACTAGGACCCCCCTCCCCCACATGCACAACAGTGACTTTCTGTGTTTCCATTTCAAATGCTGAAATGTCCTGGGGCTAAGCTCAGTTTTTCCTTCAAATGAAATCAGTTGTAAAGTCAAAATGCTGTTGGTGACATCACTCTGTTGCCATAGAAATGTTTGCAGTGTCACTGATTCAGCTGTATAACTCCAACTTGCAAAAACAAGTTATTAACAAGCATTTCTATATCTCCAAATGTGTACAAGTCAGCATGTTCTTGTGATGTGAGCTCAATGCTAGGCACAAGGGTCTCCTGAGTACTAATCCTGGCTCTCACACTTACTCACTATGTGGCCGTGGGCAGGGATACCTAATCTCTCGATTGCAGGCCTTTTAAAAACAGCCATCATGCATTATCTCACCAGTAGATATACCATCCAAAATTACATTATTCTGTTTGTGAAGGACCCCATTGTCTATACCCTTTCTTTATTCTGCCAAATAGGGTGACCAGATGTCCCGATTTTAAAGGGACAGTCCCGATATTTGGGGCTTTGTCTTATACAGGTGCCTATTACCCCCCCAGCCCCTCTCCCAATTTCTCACACTTGCTGTCTGGTCACTCTACTGCCAAATGATATTAAAAGAGAGTTTGGGGCATGGGGAGTTCCAAATCAACCGTCAATCATCATTATTGGGAAGGGTTTGCATACAAGTCAGTCTGGCTGGGGCTTTTCCTGTTCTCTGGCAGTAAGGAAATCCATAGCCAGGGACCTGCACTGAGAACATCCTGAATCCTGTGATCACTCAGCCATACCCTCACCTACCCACTGAGTGCAATTGCATCAGTGATTTACAGATGGAGAGGATGTCTGTAACACAGTTAGACTCTAGCTCCTTAAGGACCTGTAAAGTGGAGCTGGAGCTGAATGGGGAGCCAATCGAACATGACATGAAATGTTTTTGTTGATCTTTCTTGCTAGAAGGTGGATTAAGGGAGTTTGTACTAGCTGGTGCTTCCAGGTGGCCATGACATTCGCCCCAGGTAGTGGGTGTTGCAAAACTCTAACCAGGAGGTGACAAATGTGTGAATCACTGTGGCCACCTGTTCTGAAGAGTTTTTGACTAGATGGAGATGATAGAAGGCACTTCTTGAGACTGTGGCTATCTGTGTTCTCAGGAGCAGTGATGAGACAGACAGAACTCAGAGACTGCACATCACCTTGACAGTCTGAGGATAAATGCTCTCGGTAGATAATTAGGTTAATATCCCCATCTGCTTCCCTAAGTATCTCCCTCTTCTTACCATCAGCTCTGTGTTCCCTGGGCTGAGCCTGAGTCATCTGCCATTCACCCATGTCCTTATTTCTCTCAGGCACTGCAATATCTGGGGGTTAGCACTGCCTGTATCTACTGACAGGTTTCAGAGTAGCAGCCGTGTTAGTCTGTATCCACAAAAAGAAAAGGAGTATTTGTGGTACCTTAGAGACTAACAAATCTATGCTCAAATAAATTTGTTAGTCTCTAAGGTACCACAAGTACTCCTTTTCTTGTATCTACCGAGAAACAGATGTGGAAATGGTTATCTTCAGCATCACATTAGTAATATGGATCTGTGGCATCTCACTACCTCCCCTAGAGGTCTCCCATCAAGTTGAAAAGAAGAGGAGGAAAGACAGCCTTGCAGACCGCAGCATGCAAGAACTCTTTGGGAAAAGGACTAACTGCCTTTTTGAATCTCTTGGATTTGACTCTCTGGGGGGGAAAGGTGGCCACTGATTGAAGTGCTAGTTTAGGACTTGGGAGACCTAAGTTCAATTCCCCTGCTTTGCCACAGACTTCCTACATGACCTTAGGCAAGTCATCTAGCCTCTCTGTGCTTAAGTTCCCCCATCTGTAAAATGGGGATAACAGTACTTCCCAACCTCACAGGGTTGTTGTGAGGTGTTCAGATACCACAGTAAGGGGAAAGATAAAAATGCCACAGTGAGATTTGTCTAAGAGAAATGAGTAGAGCCAACATAGTGCTGCACCTTCCACTCCTACTGGATCTTATATGTGGATAAACAGTATCAGCATACATGTCTGTGCTCTGTTAATTGCCATAGGAAGATCACACATTAAAACCATCTCTATGCCATGTCCTGGTTTGAACCCCACTAGCAAGACCACTAGGGTATTGACATTCATTAAGTTCTGAAGTTTGTTCCCCACCATTCTCTTGATAACTTTGCCCAGGCACAAGAGGTTGAAGATGGAGTGATTGCTGCTGAGATAGTTGACCTCAAATGCATGTTTCTTTGAGAGCCAGCTGGATTATTATTCACTGCAGGGCAGCTGGCAGATCACTTTCTCTGATAGAGGCATTGATGTTCTAGGTCCATACTGGCTTTCTGCAGCTTAAAAGGACAAGGGTCTGCTTTACATGTCCAGAACACTTCACTGCTTTCAGGGCCTTCACTCGTGAGACAGGGATGAACTATCTATCTAGATTTTTTTTTCACAGTGACTCCCATCACCATAGTATCTGGTCACCTATATGGAAGAGCCTTGAATTACATCAAGAAACTTGATTGCTGTACATTGCTCTGACTTGGTTTCCTCAGGCCCTAGCAGGACCATTTGAAAATTAGTTTATCTTTTCCACACAGCAGGACAAGAACTCCTCACAGCAAGAGATACCCAGCTCTACTGCTATGGTTTTGCTCGTGGGAGGTGTGCTTTGAGTTTCTGCAGAGTGGCCAGGCCAGGGGGATCTTCACACTACCGGTATGCCACACAACACTGCTTCACTGTGCTCTGGCTGCAGCAATACAGAGGGAAGTTTGGGGGTTGGGGGCTGGCCAGTGGGCCCACAAACTCCCAGGATCTTCTGACCTTAACCCCCATGTGGGTCCCCAGTACTACTACAGCCTGGGAGCTTGATGTATCCTTCCTGGAGAGGCAATGCAGCGAGATTGGCAGGGGGAGGGATTTGCCTAGCTTCCCTTCTGCCTTCCCTGCCTCTGTGCAAAACCTCCTTACTGAAGTTTTACACAAGTACAGGAATTTGGTCTCTTGGTATGTCCCAGTTTTTCTTTGCAACTGAGAGAAAACCTCTTAGCTCCTTATCACCAATCCTCTTGCTTCAAGGATTATCAAGATGCTGACTGATTATCTGTCTCCTAATTCTGGTTGGGGGAAGCAACAGATTTTCTGGGAAAAGCGATTTTTTAAAAAAAATGTATTTAAAAAGGCAAAATACAGAGATTTTGGCACCAGTGAAAAGTGCTGACTTGACAGCCCCAGCACTGGACTCCTTTATTTATGCACACAGAGTACAGTACAGGCAGCAAGAATGCAAGCTTCCAACACACAACCTTGCCTGGTTGCCTCCAGCATCGCCTGGAGGGAAATCAGCTAGGGCTGTGAGGGAAGTTCAGTCTCAATGGCCCAATCAGTCCTTGGACTCTCTGAGGAGACAACTGGGGCTGATTTTATGATGCAGACACTTTGTCCAATAGGAACTTGGAAAATACATCAGAAGAGAAAAAGACCAATACTAAGGATGCCTGTGGACAGAGGGAATAAAAAGTTATACAATATGACAAGTGAGTCCCCAAATCCTCATCCCTAGAGCCAGGACTGCCAGAAATCAGGAGGGATTTTACAATCCAGCTCTCAAATTGATTTAAAGAGTGGTAGGTAATTAATGAATGATGATATAGAAGAGCAATGGGCTTCCCTTAGAGATGTCTGCTTGGAAGCAGCCACAATTTCACTTGGATCAAGGAAAGAAAACTGTGGACGTAGCCATGGAATGGAATGTGACTGAGGAAAAAAAAGCTGTAAAAAAACCAAAAGAGGCAAGTGCAGGTCTCACACAATCATAGAGTTCAGCGCCAGAAAGGACCACCAGATGATCTAGTCTGACCTCCTGTATATTACAGGCTACCAGCACCACCTAGCCCCTCCACTAAACCCTACAACTGAAATTAAACCAAAGTATTACAGCCCACAAGTGACATGACAAGAATACAAGCTATGATAGTGTATGTAGAGAAAGGCAAAGAAGTAAAGGAGTTATGTCAGCAAG